CATCCTTGAAATATACCTGCCCGACAAAATTTAGTGTGTGTTTGAGAGTTCTTTTAGCAAAAGTATTTTCAACTCTAAGCACTTTGGTCAAATGTGATTGATAAAAGTGCTTTTCGATCAAGTACATGGGTTAAAACAAACACTTGATTGAGCAAAAAACACTTTTATGTCGATTTGGTGTGATACATTCCAGTAGCTATTTCTTTTACCGGATCAAGAGTCTCATACTTTGAAGGTGTGGTGTGATATATGGGCTTCAGTCTCTCGTGGGGCAGCATACATGTTGGGATAAACACTTAAATTTATGGATCAATGTGAAAAAACCCCCTCAATGTGAGGAGTAAAAAACCACGGACCGAAGTCAAAATCTCCACTATAATCAATAATGGGTACACCAAGTTCTCCCTAGCAACAACTAGAGGTATACAATAATAATATCTCGAGACAATAAATCTCGGCAAACAAAGGGAATAAACCGGGGAAGAAAATTAGAAAGATCTCACTTAGAAAGTGGCACCAACTACCCACTGTATCTGATTGTAGGCAGCTCCAAAAGAAATCTCCACCGTCCAGATTGAAGACCCTCGTGTTACGAACACGCTGTCAAAATTTCACATCGATCGGACTACGGATCGACCTCCGATCGTGTAAAAAACGTTACTGTACGGAATGAATTTCTTTTCCTTTTTATTTTTTGTTTTCTCTCCTCAATCTGCGTGCATATACTTTCCCTCTCTCTCCTCAATTGTGGTTGACCGGCTAGGTTAGTAATATATATATATATAAACCCTAAAACATTAATGGCCAATGTGGGCCTTAAAGTTGGGCTTTTCACACAATGTGAAAAAAATACCCAACAATACACTCTGCTGAATTTGTTCTTCAGCATGGTGAAGGGCACATCTTGGAGGCTCCATGAGCCTGCTTTTTCCTGAGGCTCGGAGCCGAACGAGAACCACTCGAGGTCGTCGGCCTTAATTGCTTCCGTTGGAGACAGTATTTCGAAACGGGAAGACAGAGATGGGTGAGTGTAGTAGGAGCATCCTTGAAGCCCCTGGATGGCTGCTCCATCTCGTCTTTTGAACTTGAAATGACTTAGAATTGCGCTCTTTAGCGTCAACGGCTTCGGTCACGTGTTCCTCACGATCACGGCGGTAGCCATACTTTCTGAATAGAGATTGACAACGTAAGTAATCTGCACTTCCTTGCTACTGCGGCTTAACTCCACCTACAACAAAACGATGCCGGGAAAACGAGGTTCTCAACTCTTCATTACTTAGAACTGAAGTGAAGTACACTACAAATTTATAAGAACAAAATCTTCAGTTACTATGAAGCCTCTAGAGTCTAATATGAACACATGGATGATGATATACTATCACTACCAAATAACATCATAATCATATCCGGAACATAACTATACTACACAGATGAAATGTGTTTGAAATCCAGTTCATAAAATTCTCTAGAATTGCCAATAACTTTTCCAATGATCGAACAGACCACATACTTGAAAGGATGAGGGGAAACATAGCCCAGATTTGAGCCACACATTGCTATTCTAACGAGAGATACGAATTGATTCAGAATACAAAGAATGAAAAGCCAAGATGGAGTGCCGAAATTGGTGAAGGTACGTACCTGTAGAGTATAAATGGCATTGGAATCGACATCCTTAAGAGTCCAATCGGAAGAGAGGAGAAGAGAGGAGTTGGCGGCGGAATAGGGGGCATTGTTGATTACAAGAGCGATGCCTCCTCTAGGGCCATTGGCGATGAGAGTGGTGAAGAAAACTTCCTCAAAGCCGTTGCGCTTCCTGTAGATTTTCAGTTTGTAGGAAGTGAGATGGGCGTCGGAGATGTGGAGGCGTAGGGAGCTGTCGTTGCGGACGGTGAGGTCGACGGCGGGAAGGCCACTAGAATCGTGGAAGTGGATGCCGTTATGGCCGAATTTGTGGTTGAGAGACTCGGCGGAGGTTGAAGAAGGAGAGAGCGAAGAAGAAGAAGAAGTCGTAATGATATTTGGTTTGGGTTTTGGGAGGGGAAAGCAAACGAGAGAAGAATTCATGAGAGGGTAGATTTGGATTAAAAGAAAGCAGCTTCCACACACACACACCACCAATGTTTTGTTTTTGTTTTTGGTCGTATCCAAAATCACAACGCCACTTCTTTAGTTCTCCCTCCTTACCACCGCATCTCCTTTCTCTTACTACGTACTAGTAAATAGAATCAATAAAATTGTTAAATGAAAAATACATACATACAACTCAGAGTGTAACATGGTCATGCTGGTACAGAACCACGTCGTTAATTCAACAGTCGTGCCAATCATGGAGATTGTTAAGAGAGTTTCGACGTAGCATTGGAAATGGAATTTCTCCTAGAACACAAAATCCTACCATGCAACTCACTAAGTGCCTCTTTGTCACGGGGTCCAACCCCACTATTATCCAAACAAGTATCAAGCAACCAGACAGAATGAAGATTATACCGGCACTCCAACTAAAGAAAGGTCTCGCTCATGACGAACCAATATTCATAGTCATTCCCGTTGTAGAAGATGATAGCACCAAAGAATTGGTCCTTGAGACATCCAACATGTAATGAACACATATGTAGATGTGATGTTAGATAGTTTGTCCAATACTCTACCTCTAAGACGGGAGATATACCACGAGATTGAATGGTTACTAGGAGTGAAATCGTCCACAAAGAATACTTACCGTATGCCCCCTTCCTCTCGAGTTGTCTAAACTAAGGAAGCAACTCGACGAATTATTGAACGTTGGGTTCACTCGGCCAATAAAAGCACTGTATAGAGCCCCGTTCCTTTTTAAGGAGGAAGATGGAAGCACTCATCTATGCATTGACTATTGTGCGCTTAATAAGCTCGCAGTCTGCAACAAGTACCCCTTGTCTATCATTATAGACCTTTTTCACCAACTTTCATGGGACAAAGTACTTCTCGAAATTAGATACGAGGTCCAGATACTATCAAATGCATATTACAGGTGGAGACGAGTCGAAAACAACATGTGTCACTTGATACTAGATTTAGATGCTTGATGTGACACAATTTTGCTTCAACGGCCAGAAAGGAGCAACAATAGGGAGAACTCCCTTCAAAATAGTGAGTGGGCGACAATCTGTGTTACTACACGTGATTGACCATCCCTACATAGGGAAGAGCCCTCAAGTCTACAACTTCACTAGACATTCTACTGAAGTGGCTCGAGCATATCTCAAGAAATCGTCCACACACATGAAAAAGTGTAGATAAGAAGTGCATGTCATTAGAGTTTCAAGCAAATGGATCAAGTGCTTATCAAGTTGTGACCTGAACAGTTTTCAAGGGAATAAAGACGAGTGCTTGGTGCAAAAATACGAATGACCGATTGACATTATCCAGAAAGTAGGTAAGACGTCCTACAAGTATAATTACCTTTATGGAAAGATACACCCAACGATTCACATCAACAATTTGAAGCCTTATCATCATGACACCATCAACCCTACACAAAACAAAGTAACTCGACCAGTGGTCACATTGACAACAAGATTGATAAAGAAGTTGATGACAAAAGCATGACAAATGATCTGGACGGCACAAATCTTCCACGCTATCTTCGATCTACAGAAATGGTGTGTGGGCACCTTTTGGAAAGGAAAATGCTTCTAGGAGGACAAGGAATTGGTTAGAGAAACTTTAGAGAGATGATGTCTCTTAGGCCCCATTTACTTTAGGGTGAGAATTAAGAAATGAGAATCAAAAGTTTCTTTGATGGAATCAAATAGTGGGACTCAGCTTCAAACTTAATCACTTCTAAAAAATTCAACCTCATTCCTCCATACAAGTTTAACAATCTCATTACTTATTTATTTCGTGGACAAGTTTAACAATCTCATTACTTATTTATTTCGTGGCCTCGCACATTTATTCCAATTGCTTTCACTTTTACCTTTATCTCTTATCTATTAATGAAATCAATAATTGATAAATTAATTGTTTCACTTTTATTATTTGTTTTTTTTTTTAATTTATGCTATTAATACGTTTTCTTTTAATAAAAATTTATACCACTTTTGGTAGTTGAATGTGATTTTATAATAAAATATTACAAACTTGTATTTAAATTTTTTAATTTTTATTTTACTTTGTTATTGTTAATTAATATCAATACATTTTTTTAAATATTATAACAAAAAAATTTAATAATATTTCATACTACTTGATTTCTAATAAAACATTATTTTAGTTTATATAATTTTATTTCAATTATTTATTATTCAATAATATTTAATAAATTATTATAATAAAAAATATTTACTATCAATAAAATATAGTACTGAATTAAATTTATTATTAATATTAGCACAAACAAATAGCTAGAGAGAAGAAATAGATATAGCAGTACTTGTAAGACATCTAATTTCTATTCTCGATTCCAAACTGTTTAAATAAACAACATTAAAGGATTTCTCATTCAAATTTCATAAAATTTTTAGTAAATTACATAAAAAAAATAAGTTTAAATAAACAACATTAAAGGATTTCTCATTCAAATTCCATAAAATTTTTAGTAAATTACATCAAATAAATAATACGTGACTTCATTCCAATTGACCTTAGAGTTTTTGGCTTATAAGTCCCCTTAATAGGCTAATAATTTCTAAGGGCGAGGGCATGTATGGCCAGAAAATAGTCAAAACAAATGACTAAATGGAGATTTTTTTTAGAATTCTAAATAATATTTTAGATAAATATACCATATAATATATGGCAAATTTTAAGCACATTTTAATATAAAATTAAGAAACATTAACCACATCATCTAAAAGAATACACATCATTACTGGAACAATCTCAAAGATTTAAATAAACATTATCCAATGGCTGTAATTCATGAAGTGAGAATAAAACATTAAAAGAAAAATTCCAGATTCCATCTTGACCGAAACCTACATAGGATATCAAAATTGTAGGAATTATTCGATAGGAACAAATGATTAACTCAAAATATTAATTTAAGGTGGAAATTAGTAATCTGAATCAAGAACTTCATAAAGACAAGGCTCTGACAAACCTAACTAAGCTACAATGTATAATTGCAGTTCAACGCCATCATCAACACATTCCATCCAACAATCAAAGCCAAAGCCAGTCGCTCCAAAATTTGTCCTATTTCATTGCAAAAAGCCACATTTCCACTAACAAACTCTTCTCTTCTCCTCCCCCAACCCCAACCATACCCAAAATCTAAAAGAAAACGCCATTCTTATACAAACCATTTTGGTATCTTAATCAAAACTTGCGAGGGCGAGGATGGGCAGATGCAGAATAAATTATAGAAGAAAGCCAATTTGAGCAACATTTAATCCTCATCCATCCCCGCAGGCTGCTCCCCTCTCCTGGGGCCTCCAGCTGGTTTTGACATTATTATCTGCAACATGGGGAATAACATTCACTCAAAAACACAATTATAACGACACGAGATTTAGAGATGTAATAAGTAGCATGTTATCTTGTAATTCAAATTCATATATGTTACAACAAAACTAGAACCACAGATCTGTGAACCAAATCTTTTTGACGACAAGGTTAAACAAATTACTATCCAAGCAAACAAATTACGCCCACTCCAAGGTCTGGGCGTCCACTCCAAGGTCTGGACCAAAGAGACATCTATTAATTCACTTGAAGGTCCGAACTTGAGACCTCTCAGCTAGTAAGACCAAGAAACCCCAAGCCCTTACTAACGGTGTCCCTTGGGCATTCCATTCGAAGTCAAACACCAAAAAGTCATTCAATCAGAAAAATCCATCAAATCATGTTGGTCTCAGCTGTCCAAAGTATATATATTGGTTTAACAAATTAAATGCCAAAGCAAGATCATTAATAAATCTGTCTTAAATGAGATTAACATTGAAAAATATAGATGAAAAACACAGAAGAATATAGTTTTGAAGAAAGGTACCTGGTCCACTCGAAGGACAGTACAAGCAGCATCTGCAGCATATTTAAGAGCAAACAACCTAGACAAGAAAAAAGGCATACATAAGAGCATGTCACCATGTGTTAGTATCCCAAATATAAAATAAATAAAAGTACTCATCTCTGTCAATCACTGAGAGCGAGCCATCAATCCACAAAGTTATTTTTTCTTCATAGATTGGTGATTCTATATCATTATTTAGTTCAATGCCATATTTACATCAATAGCAATCATCGAAAGTCTTTGAAAGTTCATGTCACATGGTTTCAATTTTTTTCATGTTAAACTTCCAATCAAAATGGAGTTCCTATTTGGCTTTAGAAAGATAATTGGGTTGGTACAACCAACTTGTCCATGTTGCTTTCTAAGCTAACTTCTGGTAGAATATCAAAGCAACCTCTTTAATCTCCACCGAGACCTCACCATTCTCCCCCTCCAAAGACTCACTCTTCCTAAAATTTTCCACTTCATTTTTATGAATACAATTTTCCACTTAATGGAAAAATCAGAATGACAATCACCCTCTTTGACCCACTTCAACCTTGCTTTTTGTCTCCACATATCCTCTCCCTACAAATGAGCTCCTCAAAATCCCTTTCCACCCCTCGCTAGACTCATTTAAGAAACCCACCTCTTCCAAACCATCCATGCACTTGACCTTTTTTAATAGTTGCATCCCTAAAGTAGTGTGATTCCACTCCCTCAAATACCTTAAGGGAGGCCAACTTCCTCATAAAACAAAAAATCTTCCCACTTACCATCCACTCCAAAAGAGTCTTCAATTCTTCCGCTTGTTCAGCTTTGGGATTATTCCTCTTGTTCTTTCATTCATGATTGATGAAAGTGCAAATTTTTTATGAAAAGAAAAATATTAAAGCATTCATTGTGAGCCTCACCTTTTACCACCACTAACTGGACATCTTAGGAAGGGATATGCTTTGCTTTTTAATTTTAGGCCTCCATGGTAAGTGTGAGAGTACTAATTGCAATAGATTGAGAATAGTATTAGTAAATTAGTTAGGGGCATTATAGTAATTAGTTAGTAGTAAGTTGAATATAATTAGATGTAGTAGGGAGAGAAGAGGGAGATGATTTAGATAATAGTCTAGTGTATATTCAACTAACACCTAACTAATTACCATAATACCCCTGACTAATATACTAATACTATTCCCAATCTATCCCTACTATACCTATTAGTACTCTCACAGTAAGCTGAGATCTTATGAATTTTGTGGGGTAGGAAAAGAACAGAATGAAAGAATCTTTTGTTGAAATTCTAAAAGCTCATTCTTCAGGACAATATCTTTGATGACAAAATTTTGGATTAAGAAAATAAAAAAGCAAAAGTATCGTATATTTAGAGTTTAGTTTTGTCGTAAAAAAAAGTATCATATATTTAACACTTTAGTCTTTAACTTTTGAGTTTCACAACAGTATAATTTCTAAATTTTTTATCGTATTAGGCATACCTTTAGAGGTTTACATACATACTCAACGGATGATTGTTCTGTTTTTCTTGTTTTTCATATTCATTAACATCCTCTTTGAAAGTGGTGAAACCCAATTACAACAATATTTATCATATTCATATGCAATTAAAAAAATGCATGGCCAAACGCGAATGAAAGGTGAAAAAGGAAGGACAGAGAGTATACAATAGAGCTTTGAATTGAGTCTGCCGTACCACTTAAACATAAGTTTTTGGAACGCCAAGAACTCTAAATCAAACCAACACTTTCAAGCCATATAATCTATAATGGGACAAAACGGATTTTAACTAGGCCAGGCAATATATGGTTGAACTACTATTTAAAATGATTCAAAATTCATCATCAAGGTTGGAACAAATGAGCAATCTATGCATCAACCAAATGCACTATTACCAAGGCACAAAAATTGAGCTTTCAAAAATTTAACTCTACAAGAAAGAAATGTTGTGATTCTATATTGTATGATCATCAAACTAAAGGTTTCATGAGAATAACCATAATTATTCGAGTTGTAAGAGAATGAAGACTGACTTAGTAATGTGAAGATCCCATATATTCAACGAGGACACATCCTTGCAAATCCCTTCCTCCAAGTCTATACCCACTCTGGTATTGCCAGATGCATGCTCAGCATACAAGGAGGATATTATCTCCATCGCATTTAGCCCAGCATTTTCAGCAAGAGTTTTTGGTACCATCTCAAAACTCTCTGCAAATTTTGCAATCGCATACTGATCCAATCTAAAGACAAGAAAAGGTCATATCAGTAGATTTTTCAAAAATAGAATAAGATTACAGCTCAAGTACTCATAATCGCAACTCTTGAGAAAAATTCAACACATTGACCAAATGAAAAGAACAAAAGTGCATTGGTTTGCATCAAAAAGAAAAGTTCAGCATAGCTGATTGGAAAAGTTCAGCATGGTAAATGGAAAATCCAGAGCTGACTTTACATTATTTCCCGTGACCTAAACCGACCAATGGCCAAATCTTGAGCAAGCATGAGAGGGATCACTTCTTAAAAAACTAAAGCTACTTATTTGCTTCTTTCTTTTTTCTTTTTCCAATTACAGAAAGAACTATTAACAGTTAAATCTTAAATGAGTACTTACAGAGAGAGAAAAAAAAACTCAGAAAATTTTAGTAATTACTCATGGAAAGTAAAGTGATGACTGTTTGGTTCACGGGGCTGGAAAATATTGGTTTGTGAAGCATCAAAAGTTTGGGAGCCCATGTTTGTATGGGCATGCGTTTGGATCAAGTTCAAGCAAAGGAATAGATTTCAACAGCTAGGCTAATTAAGTAACCTACATTTAGCTTGTGGGTTTGTGACTTGGTTTTAAGTATGATGATTTTATAAGTATATACCACTCCTAAGGCTGCAGGAAACTGAGAAACTGAACCAAATCAGCTGATTCATTCCCTTTTCCAAATATCCTTGAAAACTCAATTTACGTTTTTGAGTTCAACAACAGATGGGGTATTCAAACCTTCAACCTTTGGACAGAGGTAAGTAATACATTGAACTCTAGGATTATGTTGAACTTAGTTTAGATTTTTCAAATTAAAATAAAATAAAAAAGAAACAAACCAGCATTTTTCGGTTCAATTTGATTTGGTTTTAAGGGGAAAAAAACCAATGTTTTCAAGGCGCAAGGTGCACCTCAAGGCAACAAACCCTTTGATTGCCTAAAAGGCGAGGCCTAAGTGAAGCGAGGCGCAATATATAAAATATTAAATAAATAATATTTATTAATAATTTATATGTAAAATAAATAAATAATTCAATAAACTGTGAAAATTAAAAATATATATATTCAAATAAAAATTAATTTAAATAATTGAGAAAAATAGAAATATTCAGAATAAAGAAAAAAGAGGCAGAGAGAATATTGTATTTAAAATAAATGCTAAAAAATAGTTATCTAATGCTAAAGAATTAAATAGAAATAGTTGTATTTACCGGAAACAACTGTATTTATAGTAAACATCTGAGTTTATGGGAAACACAAATACTATGTGACAGCTAGCTTATCATACAAGCACATAGAAAAATGAGTTGCCTTCAAACTTTTCTTTTTTTAGTACTGCCTTCAATTTTTTCTTCTTCTCGTACTCTGCAAAAAAAGAAATGCTCTTCTCCTCCTCGGGCTTTTCTTCTTCAACTACTTCTTTCTTCAACATGCTCTACCTCAAATTTTCTTCTTCCTTCAACTCTACCATCTCTATTCTCTCCCTTCTCATCTCCTACGCTTCTACTTTTCTCCTCTCTTCATCTTCTTCGTTTTTAAACTCTTCGTTCTCTTTTTGTTTATTTTCGTTATGAGGTGGGTTTTTACTAAGTTAAAATGATTTAAAATTAAAAAAAAAAAAATTTGATGTGCCTTCAACCAGACACTCGCCTTGCCATAAGGCAAGGGCGTGCCAAGGTGCAGTGAGGCGCGCCAAGGCGAGCGCCCGGTTGAAGGCGGTCACCTTGGCACCACTCAAGACACATTCAGGCAAAATCGCCTGGTCCCTTGCCTTAGGAACTCGCCTGGGTGCGCCTCAAAAACACTGAAAAAAATTGACTGAACCATAAATAATAATGATGAAAAATAAATAAAAATAGCCCTCCTAAAGCTCCAAGCACATGTTTTTGTTAAAGAAACAAATATTTCCTTGATTAATTTTTCTTATGAGAAAAGAATGAGAGAGAACAAAAGAATAAGAAAAATCCCCAAACCAGAGAGTCCCACACCTAGCTAATAGAAAAAGGAACTCCAATCCAAAATACGAGACCTAATGAATAATTACAAAAGTTCTCAGAGACTAACACCCACATAGAGGCATTAAACCTAGCCAAAGACCACCCCTAACACTATGCCAAAAAATCTCTCTATCAACTCTCAAGCATTTGTCGATTGTTCTCCCTCTCTCTATCAAAAACTCTCTCAAATCCTAATCCAGGCAGTCATTCTCTTTTTTTTAGCTTTCCTCCACTTGTCACTAGTGTACCTCTCCAACTATTGCCCATTTATCTGGAATAATCTGTTTAGCAGGGGCAATTTTACATATATCTACCAAATCCTTCTATTATTAAGTACGTCTAATTGGTCTTATGGCTGCCCCCACTCCGACAATTTCTCACTTTGCTCTTACATTCTTCCAATGGGCTAAAATGGTCCAAACCAAACAAATTTGAACCAAAACCAAGCTTTTTTTTATAGGACAAAACCAAGTTGATTCAATCTAAAGCCAAAATTGAGGGAAATGTTGCTTTCCTTAATTTTGCTGTTGTGAACCGAAGAGTTTAGTTCCTCCCTTTACATTTTTTAACACAACACGCCATCATGGGGTAGACAGAACCTTGAACCTTGGGAGCCTGACCTGGATTCTATTTGTGTAATTATGCCACCTAGAAGAAGGGGCAAAAGAGGACCTTAGTTTTCAATTTTCTTTGGGTAATTCAACTTCCATATCCCAAACAAACTCCTCAAGCAGGATACCTAATGGCTAATGCATTGCCAACAATATATTGGGTCACCAACCAGCACCTAGTATCCATCCATCATTTAGAGCAAGGCTTGATGTGATAGAACTTTTGTCTCTTAGGATGCACATTCCACTCCACCAAAAAAATCCTTCTACGCCTATGATACTCTAAAGTCTAACTTAGTAGATTCCATCGTCCATCCAAGACTGAGCATGAGGATTTGATGGAAAACTTGAAAAGCCACCTACAGACAACTTCCTATTGCCTTCTCCAGAATTGGTTTACATATGGGATACCACCAAATTTGAGTTGAGCCTAAACACATTCATAATGAGTGTCCACCCTCATAGGAGGGGATAATCAAAGTCTCCCAATGGCCTCCTCTTTCCGTTCACCACTCAAATTTTAGATAAAAATTGACCTTCGTGTGCTAACTCCTTCGATTACACAAGATTCTAGTTTGATCCTTAGTCTCACATCTAGGAATTGTCCCCATCAGGTCAAAAAGGGTTATTGATCGTAGTGAGTTCATGTTTTTCTAACATGCAAGTCATATTAAAAAGCAATGATCATGAAAATATCCAATTACTAATTCACACTTCACGTTTCACAATCCTTCCAAACTATGTCATCAACATCTAAAGTTCCCAACTTTTTACAACGTCATTAGTAATTTTCCCTTTAGAAATATTTTGATTCCCAACCATCCAACAAAAAATCTTCGCCCTAATCCTACTTGAGGTTTCAAAACTTCCTAGCATTTCTCCCTTTCCCACACAACCACCTCTATTGATAATGAGAAAAATGTTGAGAAATCAAGCTTTGAGCAACAAGGGCCAGTCAAAATGGCCACTCTCAAAATTGCTACCTCCAACCCTTTTCCAGTCGAGATTTCTCAATCAAAAGAGATAATTCTCACGTTCAAATTTCTAAGGGGTTTTGGGTTATTGAGCACATTCAGATCTTGAAAACAAGTGAACATCTACGGAGAGCCAAGCATTTTAGGAAACCAGGTTGGAGTTTATCCCCACCAACTTTGCTGTACTACCCACACATCTTGTAATGACTCTCTACCATTAAAATGCACCATTGAGCTCCAACAAATAGGGGAGTAAGTTCCTAGGAGGTTTGAGGCTTGGCTGAGTTGAATGCCTCTCTTTGGGCTTCCTCCACCAAGCACTTTAGGTCATGTTTACTGAAGGGGATGAGAATCAAGGAATGAGAATCAATTTTTTCATTCCCTTTGATGGTGTTTACCAAATTGAAGGAATGAAATCAAATGGTGGGACGCGCTTCAAACTTGACAATCTCATCCCCTAAAAACGAGCAATCTCATTCATTTCCTACACACTCATCAATCTCATTCTCATTTCTTATTATGTAGACCCCACACATCTGTTATAATTACTTTACTACTTTTACTCTCTCTCTCTCTCATTTATTAATGAGACCCATCACTTTTTAATTAATTATTTTATACTTTGATTTTTTTTATTTACACTACTAATAATTTTTCTTCTAATAAAAACGTATACACCTTTTATTAGTTGATGTGATTTTATTATAAAGTATTATAAATTTATATTTAATTTTTTAATTTTACCTTGTTATTATTAATTAATATCAATAAATTTTTTAAAATATATTTCATTGTTATTAAGTATGAGAATAAAAAATTTAATAATATTTTATATTAAATGATGGTTCTTCTAATAAAAAAGTTTTTAGTTGATGTAATTTTATTTTAATTATTTATTATTTATTAATATTGAATAAATTTTTATGATAAAAAAAAATATTTACTATCAATAATATAGTAATGAAATAAAATTTATTATTATTTTAATTAAAAAAATTAGCACAATAATGTATTTGGAATTAGTAAGAAAGAAGAAAGGGGTATACTAGTCATTTTTAAATATGTAATTCCGATTCAAGATAGTTTTAGCAAACAACATCAAAGAAATATTGATTTTGAATCCAGAAAATTTCTGGTAAACAACAAATAACATTCCCATTCCGATTCATTTTCATTCTAATTCCTTCCCATTTCAGTTTCTGGAAAGTAAAAATGGCCTTAGTACACAAAGGTACAAATGATACAAGTGAAACCTCATAAGAACAAATGATACAAGTGAGAGAAAAGAGTACACAAAGGTCTATTGATCCTTCAAAAAGTTAAGTGTTTGCGCCATTCCAGATGAAGCAATTGACAACTCATAACTGAAAGGAAAACCAAACGAGATAGCTTTCCTAGGGTCCCTAAATGTGTGTTTCAGCCCACAACTAATACCTCACTCACAAGGATGAGGATCATACTTGCATGAACCCTGTGGCATAGTGAACCATACTCAAAATAGGAAATGCCCCAACCAACGAGACCTCATTGCACAATCTCAAACACAAGGTCAAAGAGCCTCGACCCACCTACCACTTAACCAAATGTGAACCACACCCTAGTCAACTCCTCCCACAAAAAGTCTCTCATGAACTTTTCTAGAGTCATACTAACAGAGAAATAGATCCTAAAAGTAGATAGAAAGTAAATCAAAATCCCACCCAAGAGTCAGCATACAGGGTCAGAATCTTGTTGCTTATAAGTTATATCAACTGATACAAAAAAATGATATAAATTATAAGTTGTATAAGTTGAGTAAGATACTTTTCCTGATCTTCAGATAAATGTTGTTAACAACTAAATACAAAATAAAAATAAAAAGTGATCTTCCCTTGTGCAATATTATATTTTAAAAAATAAAGTAAAAAGAAATACCCTGTTTCTTTGAAAGAGAACTCCTTTACTCTTCTAGCCAACTCAATTTCTGTGGCAGCACCTCCAGGTACAGTGCGGCTGTTCCTCGCCATTGCCTAACAAAGAAAATCATTATGCAAGCTCCAAATAATTCCAAGAAAAAAACAGTACATGTGTAGAGAAGTACTTTGTACGTATTAACTCCATCATCAACTGCCCGTTCAAGATCATCCAATATACTATCAGTACTTCCACGCAAGACAACAGTTGATATGGAGTTACCCCCCTCTTCATTCTTCACAACTGTGACCTGAAATGCAATATCAAGAAGGGAAAATAATGGTTGTGATGTCAGAAATCTCAAAAGCAATCATGACAAAAGTAAATGTAAATAACATACCCTAACTCCACCAATTTCTTCAACTGACACAGAGTCCACATAACCCAGGTCATCTGGATTTGGCTGGCTAAGCTTCAACTGTCGTTTGATGGGGTGGGGGAACCATGTCAGTGCCAATGAAGAAAACAATTTCTCCTTTATCAATAATATTGCCATAACATGCTTACCATTGCTACAGCACCAGTTGTTCGACAAAATCTTCGCAACTCAAACTTAGAGGTAATTTTTAACACCATAAGCCTGCAGTGCAAAAGCAAATAAAATTAGAGGAAACTTAGGTGAAAGAAGGCCTAATCTGGATAGCTCATCCATGTCCAATGCATAACAAACCGACTCTTCCCAACATGCATTACCAATGCAAATTAGTAAATACAAACTTTTAACTACTAATTTTAAATTTTGAACTCATTCAGCATAAACATATTTGGATGCATTAAAAATATCCTTGAACATCGCCAAAGTGAGCATAGCTCAGCGGTAATTGACATGTATCTCCAAACAAGAGGTGGTGAGTTTGATCCCCCACCCCATATGTTGTACTAAAAATATATATATATATATATATGCTTAAACATCATATGGAGTCCATAACAAGATTGGGAAGATAATGGATATTAGCAGAAGTGACATTGGACAAAAGTAAAAGACAAAAAACCAATCAATGATGACTTTTTTTAGGGGTGAAAGAAACCGAACCGACCCGAAAAACCAAACCGAATCGAATCGGGTTGGTTCGGTTGAAAATAAATATGACCCGAACCGAACCGATATTATTGAGTTCGGTTCGGTTTCAACCGATATTAGGGTTTCATAAGCACAGCCTATCTACGCACCCCCCTCCCCCTCCTCTTCCCTTTCACGACTCAACCCAGGCGTCCCTCTCCTCTCTCTCCATCCACAACTCACCAGCTGCAACCCTCTCTACTGGTGGCGACACAGCGGCCTAGGCGTCCCTCTCCTCTCTCTCTCGGAACAACCCACCGGTGGCAACCCTCTCTACCGGCAGCGACATGCAGCCTTGGATCGTCCTCTGTTTTTTGTATGAAATTTTGAAACCGGTGGAGTTCTAAAACCTGAAATTGAAAATTTTGAAGATGATGATGATTTTGAATTGATTAAATTACTTAAGCTGCTTCTTCTAATTTTTCTTCCTCCAATTTCTTGATCTTCGGATTTGATGGAGGTTTTGTGTTTCTCTAGGTTGTTGGAGAGGTGGCCCACGCTGGACATGGTCGCGGCAGCGGGCTTGGCCGGAGAATTTGTAGGGGAAAAAAAGGAAGAGAATTTTGTGGAAGAGGGAGCTGAGGAAGAAGGAATTTATATATGGAAAAAAGGCAGGTTTTTTTTTAATCAGTTTCGTGTGTTTTGTTTTTCTCCCTCATTTGTTTTTTGTATGAAATTTTGGCAATACAGGGGTTTCATGGGCTTTGTTTTGTTTTTTTCTTAGTCAGTTTCGTGGGTTTTGTTTTCTCCCTCATTTACGAAGAAGAAGAAATTAAATTGCAGAAAAGAAAAAAATAGAAGAAAATATGGATTTTGGAGTTATGGGTTTAGATTTGGAATTCATGTAAAAGAAGGGGAAAAAAACCCTAAAATCAAACGGTGAAGGGGAGAAGAAGGAAGAGATGCAAGGGATGGAAAAAAAAAATTCAAATCGGTTTGGGTCAGGTTTGACCCGAAATGTTTCGGTTCGGGTCGGTTGTTCCCGAAAACCGACCCGACTCGAACCGATTACACCCCTACTTTTTTTTGCAAAGGAATCAATGATGACTTTTCTTAAATAGAAATGAGATTTTGATTGATGCAGCAAGAAGTACTACAAAAGTATTTCCAGGAAAAAAAAAAAAAAAAGCTCCCACGATACTGTTTTTGTAGAAAACCAAGCTGTCATTAGGATAAATAAAGGAATACAAATGGAGAACACAAAAAAAGAAATATCACTACACAAGACCCTGTACAAAAGAGACAACCGAACAATTACATAGAGGGCTCCCATTACAAAGAATAAGCGATAACTAGTAGTTACAAAAATCCTTAGATACAGACACCCAAAATAAGTGTAGAACCAAGCCATAGCCCACACCTCCCCTTACTTTCGAGCCCCCCAATCCTCCCAATTCTCACCAGCCAAATGTTTCACGGAGTAGCAAATTAAGTTGCATGCCAAAAGATCCCACCCTACATATAAAATAGGGGATGGAACGAAACCTCCTCTATTATCAACTGACAAGATCTATTGTACATCAAATGGATGCCAAAGGTCTCCAAAAAGTAGCTCCAAATCGAGTACACAATGACAAGCCTAATACATGATGAGTCCTGTAAGGCATGACACGCACCAGTGCATCCCCAACATCAATGGTGTTAATCCTCCCATGACCAAATCTCTCACAATATGGAATTTGAAGCATTTAACCATAAAGTTTCAACCTTCCCTTGCAACCGCCAACCAATGCCACAAGAAAACATCAATTAGGACTATTTTTTATAACTCTTCTTTTGTGATCAATTAGGACTACGGTCCTTTTCTGACCTCTCACTTTTGATTATTTGGAAGGAGATGATGTCTCATCTCCTTTCCTTAGATGGTTAATCCTTTGATCTTTTGGAGTGAAATTTCTGTGTCTCTTTATCAAAAAAATTTGTCTCTCATTCAAAAATAAATAAATAAATTTAAAAAAATACATCAGACATTTATAAAATGAACATAGCTATAAAATGTCAAAGCTTTAAAAATCAATATTTAATACTACATACAACATCCAAATTCCTTTAATCAAAAGAATCATCAAGTCTTAAAGAAGGTAAAAGTGAAACATCAAAACTTAAGAATCTTATCATCCGCGTCCACTTCTAAATCTAAGGCATCCTCTAATTGTACTCTCTAGACATTCTTTCCCCAATCACCAATGTTCATTTCCTTTCAATCACTGTCATCTTCATGATCACTTTCACTCCTGGTTGGTAATGTTTAGTCGGCCTTCTAACTCAAGAACTTGAGGCAATGGGTGGCTTTCCTGTGTATGTGGTAGATATAGTATGCTTTATGATTTCTCCAACATTAGTAGGGGTTACATCCCTCGTATAAGGTCACCATCACCCAAGCTAACTTATCATTTGCTTTGTCATTTTCTTTTCCCGTCATTCCAACCAACCATTCTAGTTGTGATTTCCTAGAAAACTATGCATATACATATGCCGAAATATATGCCCTTGTATATGTGTTTCTATTTTCATTTGTCTCAACGAAAAGTTCGGTTTCTTATCGAAAAAATAAATAAAAAATCTCTAAAAAATCATTAAGGACCATTACCACAATGGTCCATATGTCTAGGTTATGTCTAGGTAAATCTTTCAAACCATACATTTCAACGAGCAATGAGCAATAAATAGAGCAGTTTAAATTCAGCACCAACACTTTTAACACTAAACCAGAGAACAGAAAACAACAGAGAGAAGGAAAACTTGGCATACTTGTAGCGTTCACAAAAGTGTAGAGCCATTTCCCCAACAGCTGCTYCACTAACAATTACTTTAGCACCTGAGTTGGCAACTGATTTTATCAGCTCCTCAACTTTAGCTTCCTCAGTTTTTGCATAGTTTTGTAGCTGCAGATGATTAGCAGATATAGACATTAATGCTTCAAGAAAACTACAAATCCAATTGCAAAATAAAACTCAACAAAAGGCCAAAGGTAAAAGAATAATTGAACCAAGCAAAACAAGAAGATAATTATAAGCAATGAAACAAGAAAATTTATACTTCCAATTAAAATAATAACATAAAACATGAAACTACTAAGAAGCAGGATCCACGATTCCTGCTGCTACCAGTGAAAACTGCTTCAAATTAACCGAGGGACATTTAGATATACTAGTACAAAACACGCACTTGAAATTCATAGTTTTATTTTAAGTTTAAACATAAAATTAATTAAATAGTTAAAATTTTTATTATAATTGGCTCTTTTTATCTCAATGTTTACCTCACCAAGTTTTTTTGTATTTTCCATGTTATCTCATAAAATCAACATCTCAATAATTCTTTTTTTTATAAGAAACATAATATATTAGAGACCAAAAAAGGAGGTACAGCGTAAGGGCAGAGGTCAAGGTGGCCCTCCCCCGAAGAGCTACAACATTACAGCTTTCCATTCTCGAGAGAGTAAAGCTATATTGTAGTGGGAGATGCCTTGAGTAGGCTAATTGCCTTGAGTAAAGCTATAAGATATTGGCGAAACGAGGGATCAGACAAGGGGATCCCCTCTCACCGTTCCTTTTTACTATAGTGGGAGATGCCTTGAGTAGGCTAATTCACT